AGGTCGGCCCCCTCATCCACAATCAAGTCATGGATGAGGGAAGATTTATTGTGGACCAACCTGGCATTAAGCAGCAGCACTGACAGGCCCAGGGGGCGGTTGACAGGACTACCTGGAACCCTCAGGCTGGGGTAATAACCAGAAGGAGGAACAGGTGCTAGCCATCTGTCCCTCCTTCTTCTACGCGGACACGTTAGACCCCCCAACGCCATAGCGTCCATTGCCCATGACCACTCCAATGGTGGCACCCATGCGCTCCCCAGGCAACCCCATACTCAAAGCCAGAGATGAATGCATTAAAACAACTAAAAACACATTAAAACACTTAAAAACACACCCACAATCCCCGCCGCCCACTTTGACCAATCTCACCCACTGGCCAACAAAAAAGACCCTGGCCAGCCCAGCCCCCACTCGGCCCCGAATGGCCCCAAACGGCGTCACCACCCTTAGGCTGATGCCCTTCGGCCGCCGGCCCCGGTCACTGCCAGCGAGTTAAAGGCTGTGCAGCCCCTCCCCCGCGCCCCATCCCGGACCAGCACGGCTCTCACCCACGCCGGAGGAGGGGGGCAGGAGCAGGGCCCACGGAGCACTTGGCGGCCAGATGGTGGGCCCACAGGCCGGCAGTGTCCCGGCTCCCAGTCCCGCAATGGCGCCGTCTGTCCCGCAGGGCAGCAGTGTCCTCATTGGGCGTCAGGGTGCCATTCAGCTGTGGCGGCGGCGTGTCTCCTCGGCAGCAGCAGGTCTTGTGGCGGCGGTGATGGGCCGTCCTTCCCTTCCATGCAGTTTCTCATCCAAATTATAAATACAAAATATCGAAGATATTGAATATTGAAGAATCACTGGGCCCAGGACTTAATGCTGGGGTGCCCCACTTATTACCTGTCCTGAGTTTAAGAAGATGCCATTGATAAGCACTCTGACTCTGCTTCTGCTGCCAACTGTGGATCCACCTGATAGCTGTTTGATCTAGCTCACTTTTAGCTAGTTTGCTAATCAGGTTATCATGGGGCAGCAAATGTTTTGCTGAAGCCAAGATAGATTATGTCCACAGCATTTCCACAGTGCACTGGGGAGGTTACCCAATCAAAGATGAAATCAAATTTGTCTGTCGATATTTGTTCCTGACAAATCCATGTTGGTTTCCAGTATGTTTGTTTTCAGACTGACTGCTTTATCATCTGATCCAGAATTTTCCCAGGGACTGATGTCAAACTGACTGGTCTTTCCAGGTGCCTTTTCCCCCTTTCTTGAAGATGAGGACAACATTAGCGCTAATCCAGTCATCTGGCACTTCCCCTGTTCTCCATGATTTCTCAAAGATAACAGACAGTCATTCTGAGAGCTATTCTGCCAGCTCCTTTATTACCCTAGGATGGAGTTTATTGGGCCCTGAAGATTTGAACACATTCAAATCCTAATTAGATGATCCTTGACCATTTACCTATCAATCTCAAACTGCCATCCTGCTCCTTCAGCGTGTACTTCCCTTCATCAGGAAGGTCATAACAACAGGAGAGATGGCTATTGGCTTTATGCCCTGTTCCTGGGAATCCCAGAAGCATTTAGTTGGCTACCCTAGGAAAGAGGATGCTGGACTACATGGCCCTGTGGTGTCCTTATACAGGAGCTCAAGGGCTCTAAAGTTCAGAGTCTCTGAAGATGCAATCCTGCTCAAACTTGAGTGCTCCAAAGCACCTAGAACTGGCAGGGGGGTTCCGTGATGGGTGCACTTACCTCAGGTGAATTCATAAAGCAACACATTTGTCCAGATGAGCTCAGGCACAAATTCTCCTTTAATATGAAATCTTGTTCCAAGTAAACAAGTTTTTCTACATGTGCAATATGAACATCTTCGGAGCTCTAATTCCAAATCACATCGTGTAGTATGAGATCTTGTATCACTATGTCATGGTCCATTTCTTCTTTGGTTTTCACATGGCATCCCTGTGTAATAATGCCAGGTGATATATATTCACCATCACCAATCACTAGTATAAAGATGGACCCCATAGCATTGGTCTCCTCACAGAGCCAGAACTATGGCAGCAGTGACAAGGGAAGCTGCTTAAGAAAACTGCTTGTGGTAAGTTTTGGAGAGTTCTGGGTAGTAGGACAGCTGAACTGGGTAGGGGAGAATCTGTGCACTACATTACCTCATATATGCTGTGAAATTCACTATCAGTTCTGAACTTAATACAAAATTAATGCTGCATCCATACAGGCTTACTAAAAGGTAAGCATAATGAATGGATGAGTTTTGATCGATGATCCAATTAATTATAAAATCCAGAGGCATCACTAGTTACTACTGGAATAAGAATCGTATAGCTAGTTACTACTGGAATAAGAGTCTTATAATAAGGCTATGAAACCTGTGGCTGTCCAGATGTTGTCATGATCATTGGCCATGTTAGCTGCTTGATGGGTGTTGCAGCCCAACAATATCAAGAAGGCCATAGGTTCTCCATTCCTGACACGTAGGAAGGAATATTGGAAGTTCTCTTCAACATTAGAATTTATCCAGTTATTGGGCTATGGAAATGATGCTTCAAGAGAATAAAGGAAGATAGGGCCATGAGAAGAACATGTGTTTCTTGGCTGAAAGTCATGCCTGACACAGCCACTGTTGGGTCCAGCTCTCTGCCTTTATCCAAGGCTACCACTTTTGTGTGCTGATATTAACCAAATCTTGGAGTAGCTATTCCAGTTTAGGTGGTTGTGTCTGGATGAGTGCTCCATGCATGGCTTCACTGATGAAGTGCCACATATGAACTATTGCTCTCTCTTGCTAGAAATCAGACCAGCCAAATTCAACTGCTACAGCCTTTCACAACCTGATGTCTCCTAAACATGTTAGACAATTCTGACCACTCAGACATAGCATGGTCACTTGCCAAGATATTGGGGGATCATAAGAGCTTTTTCCAACATAGCTGGAGAGCACCAGAATGAGAAAGTCTGAATTATTGTTTGACAACAAATGTAAACATATGTACAATGTATTTTGAAAAATGTGGTATGTCTGTGGTACATTGATTAAGACTTATGACATGACAATGGGAAAGTGTGTTACAAAGCTATGCGTATTTCCTGATGAGGGACTGCTGGCATTACTAGTTAGAAGGCATCATGCAGTTATTCCAGTTTTTTTACCAGATTTTCTGTGGTAGTTGAAAAGGAAGAGGCAGTAGAAAAGCATGAAGGGTTATAAATGGACACTACCATCGTGTTAGACCCAGCTCTCTAAACCTGTATGGCTGAAGCTGGGCAATTACCTCGTAAAAGCCTTGTCTGGAAGCACCCCATAAGAAACAAGTATTGCCTCTGTGCATTCTTCTGCTACTTTTCTTCCCTCTCCTTCTTCTGTGTTTGATACTGCAATCTTGGCCTGTATAAATGAAAGCTTCCTATTACATCTGAAATGAGGAATTCCAGTTTAGGATCCCTGTGAACCAGGATCTTAAACCAGAATCAAACTAAGTTTCTGGATACCAAATCCACACCAGAAGTCTTTGTTTCAGAAGAAGCAGCTAACAGATTAAGAACAAAGTTCTGAAACTGGTAGCAAAGAGAAAAAGTGAGGGAAGAAGCAAATGGCTGGTGTCCCACTTGTTCCTGGCTTCCTAAAACATTGTTACATCCTTACCAGCTCATAGTAATCACCGTTTAGCTTGCAGGCCTATACACACTTACAGGAGACTAAGTCTCATTGAACTTATTTCTGAGCAGACATGCAAAGAATTGTAGGATCCTAAGGGCTACTAGTCAATGTAAGAGAAGCTGGTATCCAAGTCCAACCTAGGAAATGTGCTCCACGCTTGGGCTGAGGATCAAGCCACAGAGCACCTTCCCTCTGTCCTTGCCACCGGCACAGTGTCAGCTTTCCGTTTCAGCTTCAGCTCCAAGGTTTGTGGAAGGGGTTTGTGGCCATTCAGCAGGGAGGGAGGGGAAGCAGCGGGTATTCTGGGTGCACCTCAGCTTCTCTGCCTCACATGCCAAAGACTTAGTTGAAATCGGCCACTGAAGTCTTTTGCAAGGCAAGAGGAATGCAGAGGCAAGCTTTACGGCTGCACTCTTTCTACCCTCCATTGCATACCCATAATTGTATGAATTCAGGTAGTTTCTGGCAGTCCCATTGGATTGCACTACCCAACTAAGTGCAATTTGAAGACTTTGTTGCTTTGTGGTTCTGGCACTGGGATTCATAGATCTTCTCCTTGTGTACATTCTATATGTGAAAACCTTAATTTAAAAATATCTCTCCAATCTTTGGACTTTCTAAAAGAATGTCAGAAGCAACCATGGGGTCATTTAAATGTTCAATAAGCCCATTTTATTGTTCAACAGGACATGTTTTAACAATAAATGAGGAACAGTCCAAAATCAACTCAAAAGGTGGAAAGACAAATGAGAGCACCATAGATCCTCAAGCCCATGTAATAGTTAACATTTCTTAATACATGGAAAATATTCAGAATTTTGTAATAAACATTGCACACTTCCTCTATACAGCTGCAGGAGTGGAATAGAAATATAACAGGTCTTTCCTTCTTCCCATTCCTGCCTGCGCTGCAAGTTATTTTTCTTTTGTGTTTTGCAATAACATCAAAACTCATGTTGTTACATTGTTATGTGCCACCATCAAATTGTCTTCAACCAATGGCAACCCTATGAACGAATGCCATCCAAAAAGGCCTTTTCTGGACAGCTCTGCTCATCTTTTATAAATCCAAGGCTATGGCTTCCTTTATGGAGTCAATTCATCATATATTTGGTCTTCCTTTTCTTCTTCTCTCTTCAACTTTCCCTAG